ATCATGATGTCTACAATAATAGTATATTTATTTGTGTTATAACGCATCTTTATCGCTTAAGAGTTGCTGTAAGCATTTCGATTGCACACTGTATGATACAAATTCTAATGTATTACCAGCCATACAGCTTCATATCACAAAGGCTTATCCTTTTTTTTATCCATTTATTCTGAGAGGTTATAAAACGTCACGAGCATGTTGCTGTTTGTAATCAAAACACAGACTGTGGTAGTCGCTGCTGTCTGCTCCAAGATAAGTGTAGAGTTTCGTCTGACTGCTGTTGTTCCAAAACATCACAATAATATATTTATAAAAAGTAAAGTCTCATGTATTGTGTAAATGTCACACACTACAATGGATGATATTTCATCATATAAGTTGCTGCCATGAAATTCTTTATCAAATTATCTGAAAAACTGTTTTGCAAGTTTGGAATGCTCAGTCATTGTATTTTTCAAGCATTCGAACAAGGTTTTGTGTGCGGCACGAAGACAAACGTATTTGTCTTGAAAAATAACACTTTTCTATTAAAAAAAACACTATTTTGCATGAAGATGTACAAGTATAAAGAGCTTTTTCAGTTTAATGAAAGTAATTCAACTACTTAAGTCATTTTTCCCAGTAGTCTGTGTAATGTGAGCTTCATTTTTAGTACAAACAAACCACTTACTTCCAGAAGAACTCCGTGGGGCTGAGGGTTTTATCAGTGGAGCTGTTGCCGGTGGTCCTGTTACTACAGAGAGCTACGTTGGCCACAGCGTCACATGACCAGGGCAGGGGGCTCTGGAACGAGCTGCCCAGGTAGTAAAAGGTCCACGCTATGATGACGTTATAGTAGAGACACACCAACGTGGACACACAGAGCATCCCAATGCCAATACCTACACAAAAAGACAAACGAGAGGGCGTGAGGATGCACACTGTGAGGCATATGGTAAAAGATATCAAGTTTACAGGGAGCTGTGTCCTTACAGTAAGTGGTAGTTGTACTTGCAGAAACAGGAAATACATACATTTAATGAACATTGACTGTATCGTTTCAGACACTCAGTATCGGGCTTGTCAACCAAAAACTATTCACTTCCTTTAGTACTGTTAGAAAGAATTCCAGTTCAGTTCTCTTTCAACCAGTTCAGTCGCTGCTGCTGTTTCCACTTAAAGACACAAACTGTCCTTACATAACAAACTTCCTCCATCAAGGCGTTGCTGCAGGTGTCCTTATCAGATGTTTATATTTAGCCGCTGACTTCCAGAGCTGCCAGGAATCTTTAGGGTTAGCCACATGACGTATAGTAGTGACGTGGAGAGCTGACGTGAGTCAGCAGCCAGTTATTTTCCGAGGCTCGGCTGCATAATGTGGACCGACTGGTGGCACAGGCATTTTTAGGTCAACTTGCCGCTCTCACAGATCCTTACGTGTGGTTTAAAGTGGATGCTCAAGAGAATTAACACAGAACTGTGATGGGACCTTTTTATACTGTTTAACACTGTCTACCTAATTAGAATGACGCATCAGTAAATTTAGAGTAGGTAATGTATCCCAGGAGTTGTCCTTTGTTCTGTTTGTGAGAAATCCTTTCACATCCTGGCAACAACCAATAAATCAAATGCTCTCATAATAAAAAGGGAAGAAACCTGCTGTCTGTGCCTGTCATGGGCCTGTAAACGGCCTGGACAATCATTGCATTCTGTCTGCATGGCATAACTTGATGGTTGACCGGCACACACTCTGCCTGTGCACTAATTGCTCGTCAATGGAGTCTTGTACAACTCCAGGCAGCAAGGCTAGAGCCAGATACCACAATGACACCCACATTTTACAGTTTCACCAAAGCCTACAACATCATCCACTGTCCATTTGTGTTTGTGCTTCTTTCAGTGCTCTTTGTGATCTCCAGCCTCCTCTGGTGTCATTAGGGCATGCTTACTTTATCTGTGTTTATGTTTGTCCCTTGTTTGCATTCTAGCCAGGCTGCAAACAAGTGTCGTTTGATGGCATTCATTGTATGTTAATTTTTGTTGGCTCTGAATGGGTGTGTTTGTGCCCATTGGGGGAGTGGCTTTGGGGTGTTTGTTTTTCAGCTGGATACTCTCGTGCTTCCTCTTGATGTTTCTACAATCCTGTATATCCTAGCTTTAAGGCCCTGTTTACACGTAGCAAAAACGGTGGGAGTTCAATGGGCCTTTGGGTTTACATGTAAACGAAGCTACAAGTCACTGAAAACGTTCATATCTGAAAAGTCGGCCAAAGTGGAGATTTGGAAAAACTCTGTCTTCACTTTTGCATGTAGACAGGAGGAGATGGAGTTTGACGTCATAGTATGCGACAAAATCAGCGTCATATGTGTGTGACCAGTGTTTACAGTTTGGCTACTATGATAGAAATGGATGCTGTTAAACCAGTGTTATTACGTTTGTGCAAATGTTTGTGGCCTGTTCGCATTTACAGACAGTAACATTTAGGAGTAGCTCCACTTCTCTGTCGGTCAATAGAAAGTAATTAGGTCATTGTGTTTTTTTCCAGGATTCTGATTGGCTAGCATGGCTTTATGCTTCTCATTACACTGCCCCCTGTAGGTTTAGGCATGCTCATAGCAGCTCTTAACGATGTGTTTATGCGGGTTTATGTAAACGAAGATTTTTTTGAAAACGATCTGGTGTGAACAATGGTATTTCTGAAAACGTAGATCCGTTTTTGTTAATACCCAGCTATGTGTAAGCGTGGCGTAAGTCACCGGCTGTCACAGTTATCTCTAAACATTACCACAGTCATGTCACTGAATTACAGTTTATGCAAGTGTGTCATTACTGGACTTAAACAGCATGATACAGGAGGTCATTACCTTTGAGCAGAGGGCAGCATTTCCACACAGTGATGGGGCCAGCTGCTCCATACTGGCCTAAACTCAGCTCCATGAGGAAGAGTGGAACACCCGTAACAAAGAGCATGATGAAGTATGGGATGAGGAACACACCTGTGAAGATCAGAAACATGCCAGCTTTAGGAATGGTGGTGCAGGAGGGGAGACATCCACTGCAATGACATGTAGACAACCTGCAGAGGCAGGTTAACTCATACAGCTGCTTTCTAGAGGGCAGCTTCACAGATGATGTTATTCAGCTTTACTGTTAGTCACGTTATGACATGTTTTCATTTCAGGAAGAAAATGGATAGAACATAAAGCCGGGATACAAACGCAGACTGCATGTCTGGTGTGTAATCAAGGGAAAACACTGTCTCTACTTCGAGGATTAGGAAATGCTTTGTGTTCCAGCTCCCAGTCCCAGAGGCCTCCACGGAGAGCTGTGCTATGACTGTGCAAAATAAGCCGGCATGATCAGGAGGACAGCGCACACCCAAAGGCAGGGCAAAGAGTGCCTCGTGCCCAAATGGGTGTGACAAATCCTTACAGACATACACCCAGGCATCAAAAGCATTTAAGGCTTCAGAGGGCAACGAGCACGCTAGAAGACCGCTCACCTCCTCCGTTGCGGTAACAAAGATATGGGAACCGCCACACGTTCCCCAGTCCCACGCAGTACCCGATGCAGGAGAGCAGGAACTCATACTTTCCACCCCACTGCTCCCTCGGGAGGGTCGTGGCGGGTACAGGACTCTGGGCTCCAGATTCAACCTGTGGTTGTGGTGACGGTGTAGCTGCTGGGTTGTGACCATTTTGAGTGACAGTATGTCCGTTCACATGTACTGAATTCTGAAAAACATGAAACGACATTGTTAATTTACACAGATACACATATCAGTACAAATCTAGAATGGATCTGATAAAGCTGGTAGAAGTGCATTACATTGAACAGTGCAAAAACAACTAGTCGAGAATATTAACAAAAGACAGCTTTAATAACTGATTATTGTTTAGGTACTATGCCAGTTAGAACACAGAGTATTTGCTGGGTACACTTTAGAGGTACTGTAGATATACACAAACTAAGGGTAAGGTTTTGCTTTTAGACAGAGGTTCTCAGGTATTTAAAACCACCAGCTATTTCTTCCTCTTCCTTCCTGCAGGTCACCTTTCTCTGAACAAGAGAGGAACTATTTCTAATGCCAATTCACAGGCAGGAAGTCCAGTGAAGATAACAGCGGAGCTTCTGCTTTACATGCTGCTACTGTCATTATTTTTGTTTGTCTCATGTCCATAGTTTCACTAAACTTATGTGTCAAATTTTAATTATACTATGACACACTTACTGCCATCTGGTTCTACACCCGGGGACTCTACTGTATTTCAATATGTAAACACGGCTCTCAAATATGACGTAGGACGTTGAAGTACACAATGTAAATGCGTTGATGTGACAACTATCAGGAAGCAGATTACCGTGTCTAAAACACACAGTGTGAAAAGAGGAAACAAGGGGTTAATCAGCATGGCCAAGTACTGAATCCAATATTTAGTATTTTTATGATTATCAGTATTGTTTTATTTTTTTTAGATGATTCCCAATAAATAAAAAAAAAAAGCATGCACTACTTTGTCTTTGATACAGCTTCCTGTCTCTATCTGTCTTCACTCTGTGGTTTCAAGCAGCGCTATCTGATTGGTCAGACGTCATAAGAAACAACTCTCAGTGTTAAAGGTCAGAATTTTGTCTTTTAATTAAACATATGAAAACATAAAGAAGCAGTTTAGTTTTAACAAAGTCTTGTTTGGGAGTGTGTGTTGAAAGTGGGATTGTAATTTGTAATGCAAATGTATATCAGGTCCAAATATCGGTTATCAGTCTCCTTTATTACCAATAATCAGTATTGGTCCTGAAAAAAACATTTCAATCAAACCATAGAGGAAACCTGGAAAGGTTTATTATTATCATTATCAGCTACAACACTGTGAGAAGGAGCAGTTATTTACTATATTGATTCAGTAGATTACTTTTTATCTCCTTGATTAAAGAATTCATAATTAAAATTTATATTCAGTCAGAAAAGATCTCCATTAAGATTTAAAAAGATCCCCACACTTGTTAAAAATAAAATAAAATGAATAAAATCCAAACAGTTGAGAAGCTGGAACTTGATAATACGTTGATATTTTGCTCTAAAAGTGTGACCTGACAACTTCCTATGACTGAAAAGAGAAATATAAGAAGACAATAAGTGCATACAGTGTTACTGAAGTAACAAAACATGAGAAAGGGGGTCACAGAGCTACAAGTTACAGGAAAACAACAACTATGTTCACTTTCCTGATCATGCAAAGTGTATCATAAAGTTAAACCGTAATCTGTACGTTGAGAAAACTTTGTGTACACACATCTGTGCAGTGAGCAGAGCAGAGCAGAGGCCCGGCTCCACCGCTGCAGGCTACGGAGCGTCTGTTCCGCGCTGGCTGAGCTGCAGCAATGTGGACGGACAGGTTGGACCGCTTCACAAAAACACTTTTAATTTGACCCACAATACCTCGGAGAACCCCGGTAATTGAACGTAAATGCCTCCTAACGTACTTCCAGGCTGTTTCTAAAAGTTAATCTGCCTCTTAAACCATCACTGTTTGATGTGGACTCAGCGGTGAGGATAACAAAGCTCCGCTCTTACCTGCGCGGCGGCGGCGGCGGCGCTACTTCCTCCAGCGGGGCTCTCGGGGGCTGCTTTGCCACCTTCGAGCTGCATTTCCTCCCCCGACAGAGGCCGTGGTTCACTGGCTGGTTTTTCGCTCGTTAATCCGCATTTTAAACAGGAGAAAGTGGTTGAAAGTGTGTCATTTTGCTGTAGTTTTGGTGGCGGCAGAAGAAGTGAGGTCGGACGGAGGGCTGAGCAGAGACAGTGAGGAGGCGGCCGGTGGGTGGTGAGGTGAAGGGCGCAGGTGCAGCTCTGAGCCGGAGGAGGAGGAGTTGTTTTATCCCAAGGATGTTCAGCAGGTCAACCGGTTGAACTTTATCAGAAGAATGCTGCCAAATTACTTGTGTAATTATCCAATGAAGATAAGA